GAAGAAAAAAGAGATATGATACAACTATTGTGTAATTGTCTCCAAATTTCTGCAATGAATTCTTTTTATACAACGCCAAAAATTGTGACTCTCCAGACTTATTTTAAACGAATTGGTATTTCTATACCTCAAAACTTTGATTCATTTCAAGCACACATCTATTATACTCATATTTATGTTTTTCAGCCCCCAGAAAAAAAATCTACAGCTTCGTCACAGTTGCCTAAGGAATGGCCCGTAAACGTCCACGAGCGCCCCGAGTATAATTCGGCAACAAATACTATAGAACCCCTAGATTACACAATAAGGGACATTCAGAGAAAAACAGCTGCCAAGAAGATCAAGATTGATGCATCCGTTGTTCAGAAGAAGGGAAAGAAAAAAGCCATCAAACGCCGAAGGAAACCCCGCGCTGTACCTGAAGTAGAAAAAGTGCCTTTAGAAACTTTGAAGCCCTTAGTTAATTCAACAACTGATATGCTGAAGGACTTTTTCATTAAAAGCAAACAGCATAAAGATCTCACTAATTTTACGTCTGATATTTGTACGTTTGAGAACAAGGTAGCAATTTTGAGAAATCAAGCTCTGTTATTTTCTGTCGTAAATAACTTAGACCAAAATGAGGTTGTAGAAAAATTTAAGCAATTAAATGTAGAGATTGAGGCCAAAGACTGAATATTGATAATATGTATGATAACCGAGAGAAATGTTTTTAAGTTCCTTCTATTTTTAGTTCGTTAATAGTAAGTTTTGTGATGTTTATATCGGCATTTTAAATAAAGATTTTTGTTTTAATTACAATTTGACTGTACTTATTCAGTTGAGTATCCTTCTAATTTCTCAGCTGAAATAATATGAATATTTGGGAAATATATGCAACTTGTACCCTGATGATTCATCAAATATAGTGTTTTGATAGGTAGAATTTGTCCTTTGACATATAATAAATCAAAAGAAAACACTTCCCGGTGTTAGNTCACATTAAAATATAGTGTTCCAGTCGTAGCTGATCTTTATGAATCTGGAAAGAGATGATATTGTTATTTTTACCCGTAAGTACACAGTACAGTTAAACTCATCTTTATTCCACAATTACACTGACAATATAGGTAGGTCTAAAGTAAGTGGGTCTATTCGACCCTCCACCGCAACCCACAAGGGTTTGTTGTGGCTCACACCTATTCACACCCGGCCAAATAAACCCAGCTTCTTATCGAAGCCGATTAGTTTGTATGGTGAGTGATCTTTCAGTTCAGATGGTGAGAGTACGGATCTGCCGAACTCAAAGAACCTGATTCGGTCACCAGCGGGGCAAACACAAAGTATCTGTATCTGTAGAGTAGGGAGGGTGAGTATAAGCCCACGCACTTAGGCCACATGTGAGCCATTGTACATCCTCCCAAGGAGTTGTCCTCCTAGGTCGTCGTCCATCCTGTCCTTTCCAGGAAGGTGGAGTATAATGCCTCGTGCCGTAACTGAGTTAAACATAAGACTCATTGCTAATGATTCAAATAATTTTACTCGTGGATACCAGGTGTCAATTTTAGCTTTAGACAAAATAGGGATTACAGAGCCCTTAATGCTAGCAACTGATGATATTTCCGGGAATAATCCTGACGAGGTGAAAGTTAATCCCAGATAAACATATTTGTTTGTTACCTCTAGTGGTTGTCCATTGAAATGAAAAGCAAAATTAGGTTTACGATATCCACCTCAAAAAAGATTGAGTCAATAATATCCATGCTGCTACTTTAGTAGCAGCATTCAATAATATAATTCACAGACTTGAATATTCCACTTTAGATATCAATTTTCAAAGATAACTGATTTTCATAAAACATTTTATTGTCAACAATGGTTACGAGGTGGTTCTTGTCCAAAATTTGATATCGGGCAAACCGGAAGAACATAAAAAGGTTTGTTTCAATACCTTGTATGATAAAAGTCCAGCATAGAGGAGCTGGTTCGAAATATTTTGACCATCGAAAGTCCAATTCATGACCGCGATAACGCTCTTAATTAACTACAGCGTTAGACAAAGAACAGCCTCCTATCATAAAGCGACAGTAGAAGGAGGAATTCCCTCCTTTACTGGACTACGAACGAGTGAAAACTCAAAAAAGGGTTAGACGAATGGACTCGGATATAGACAACGAATTCGCATCCTCCCGTGACGTGGAAATAATAATAATGTTTATTCAGTAAATATACATAAATTCTCAAATATAAAAAAGGAGTAAATAAACAGCGGCATCACAGGAGAAGCATCGCCGAAGGGGTGTTCCTTCCATACCAGTAAATAATAAAAAATTAGTACACATGAGGTATGTTGAAATTCATCATACGAAGTAATATAAAATTGATGTTAGACATTATTAAAATAAGGTTGAATTATGAAATAGTGCTTACAATCGGGCTAATATTTACAGTAGTTCAGCGACAATAGTTATTGACGGTTGTACTCAAAATACATTTTATATTATCTATGTGTCATGTGTGTTCAGGTAGGGTGATATGAATATATCCTTTTTGAATATTATTTAGAATACTAATACAGAATAATTGCCTCGTGTCGTATTATTTTTCAAATCCACTTTTGAATCGTATCAAGATTCTCCAAATGACAATCTTCAACTCCTCCCCATTCGATTATCCCCTATGACATCTTAGACTGAACCAGGACAAATGGCATGTTTTTCACCGGAGTTCTTGGTAAGCGACGAGGAGAATGTACCTCAGTATCATCAGCTACCTATAACAGAGGCTAATCCCTGTACCTCTCAGAAGTTCTGAAATTTCCAGGGAGATTACTAACAACAGTAAAGGCTCGGGGGTCCAATATCATACTTGTTGACGTATTGCGAAATATATTCATTCATTTATCAAAATATTTTAGTGGTACGAATAAAGTACCACCTTGTTCTCTTTACGAAACACCAATGGTTTTTTGTGGGGCTACAAATATTCTAAATCATTGAAGTTCTGGTACTAAGATGAGACTAAGTACCAGCGCCTTCGCCAGAGTAGCCAAAATGTAGGTTAAATGGTTAGAAAGTGATTAGATTTGACCAGGGGTGCATCACAACAGATAATAACCACAAATAGTTAAATATCAAGAGGCAACAATTGTTGAGTATTACTATCGATGACTGTCTCGAGTAGTAATTTTTGACGCATCATTTTAGTAAACTCGTGATGTGTTATTGGGATGAATTTTTTTTTGATAAATACTTATAGCAAAATGGGGATTCTGCGATTAGGGTCCGTATCTATTTTCATATTATTTTGCTAGCATTTTGAATATTGAGGTTTTGTTTGACATATATATGAACAAAATGCCTTCAGAAATCGTTTCAATTCAATTAATTGATGTTTCCATAGAATGTTGTCTAAAAGAGCTGTCCAGAAAGATATGTTGAAAACGCTTGAGTTTAAAAACTCAATAGTGAAAGTTTTTGCTCTAAAAACTATGAAACAAGAAAATATTGTCATCTGACATTTAATTCATCGTTTAAGAAACAAATTGGTTGTCATTTTTTCGATTATTTTGCAAACTGTAATGTAGATCTATACCCGGCTCAAGAAAATATTACAAACCGGATAGACTGTTCTCGTTATCGAACTTTTTCAAGTTTTTAATCTTTTTTTTCTCACATGTTTCAGTTTGTGCACTAGGGGGGTTTCTCAAATGACTGATTCCATTGTTACCTATGTACAAACTATTCTATATTTATAACCTATTAGGTATGCAACTTGCACGTAAAATTTTCAAATATATTTACCTAATACATATTTACAGTTTTGAGGCAGGTATATGAATAGAATAAATTAAAAGATCAATAGACTAGGTTAATGTATAGATCAGGTTAGTTTTCAGTAATGAAATTTTCAAAATTTCGTAATCTAGATTAGGAACGCAAGAATCACATAATGGTCATCCTGAGGAATTTGGCTATGTTCTGCTAATCGAATTTATTTATTGTTGATTAGTTTGGTTACCCAATTCATATTACATCTAAATTCATATTGAATCTATTTCTTTATTATTGTCTTCGAGAAGTTTATCGATGTAACCATACAATGGTTATCATGATTACTTTGAAGACGATAATTTAACGGCTCCGATTCCCTACTCACGGTTTGAGTTGTTTCATAACTCAAGTGTCTCAAATACCACTGACTGGAATTTAAGAGTGTGAAGGGTGTATCCTTGAGACAGGAAACTAGTAGGTCAGTTTGGACTAAGACTAAAAATAAATCATTTTAAATATTTCTAGATGTCCTTCAAGGCTACTAGCAGAAATGTTCACAAGCTATTCATTAAACTTCTATAAATTCAAAATTAACGGCGATAAAAATGACTAAAAATTTTAAGAAAATGAGAAACTGGAGCTTTGAGTTGTCACTCAGAATACTTCATGATACTTTTGAAGTTGAGAAAAACATCAGTTTCATGCGATTTTTCCCAAACTTTGAAATTAAGTTGAAAAGAACCTTGCATAAAGGGTAACTGGTCGTTACCTATCAAAAACTTTTATTTTTTTGCCATCAGAATTTGCTATCTACACTAGCCTACTACCCCGAAAAACTGCTTTGATAAGGATTTTTATGAATTTTCAAACTAGAAATCATTAAATAACAAAAACAATTCGTCTTGATAAGAAACTTGACTTTTCTGGACCCAAATCCTGTTTCTTTTTTAAAGCGAACTGTTCAGGTAAATTTAAAATACAAGTTGCTGCCTAATTTAAACTAATAGTGAAAATTATGCATTTATTTATTTTTGCTAACCCCAGTAATTTTCTCTTTTTTCAGTAAGTACTTTCATTAGAAAAATATTTTCAAATGGTAGAAGGATTATCCAAAAAACTAATTTAATTTTTTTTTAGTATGTTCAATATTCTCTATTTTATGCGATGGAATTGGCCGATACCTGATAAAAATCAGTAACGTATTCAAATAACACTTCGTTGTGAGATATTGTCATACAGTATGAGTATAACGTGTTATTTGAATTTTCTATTTCATTCATACTTATGGACTCATCCTTCAGATATCTAAAATCCGCAGATATTAACATTAGCCATTTTTTTTGCACTTCGAGCATATCCTCGTTTGTTTGGACCTATAAGTCTATGTACAAAAAACACTGGGAACAACAAATTGACGCACAATATAAAAAAAAGCTTCCGTTTGATTTCCAATATTATTTCATATCCTCAGCAAAAATATTTATCAGTGAGATCCTGTTTATGAAATCTAAATTTATAGACTTCGGAATCAACATATAATTATGGATTCCTATATTTAATCCAAAAATAACATATTAAATAACGTCACGTTTTTGAGATTTTCCATCGGAATTTCGTATTAACATACTGCTGAGTAGGACTTCACGAGGAATTGAGGAAATTATGGATATTTTCTTGTATTGTCTTCATTCCGTGAATAATCAAGCCAAAACAAAACGTTAATGGAAAAAAGCTTTTTATTGTTCACTCATCCATCACTATACGAGTACAAAAAATTGCGTAAACACTTCCAAAAGAAGGAAGAAATCAATTAGGGTCAAAATGAACTCTTTATGAAGATGTGTAGATCATGCATAGAAGTTACTTTCAGATATAAACTGGAAGAAAAAACTAAGAAAGAATTAATAAATATTCCAAGTGGGGTGCCCCCGTGGGGGTAAAAGGGGTGCGTTTACATATGAAAATTACCTTTTCATCACTGATTCTCCGCACTGCTATATTTTCGGAGGCTGAAATTTTGTATGTAGGTTCTTGTTATGTTGTATTTCATTTAGTACATGGGTAGTAGAACAGTTCATTAAAATGTTATATAATGATACACTCTTGACGACTGTTTTTTTGTTAGGCGATGGCATTTTAGTAATCGTAATCAGCTATTGCTCTGCATATTGGAATCTACATTAAACAGAATGGCAAACTCTATCCAAATTTCATGCTTATTCGGTTACATTATATGACTTGGACAATAAAAATACCATGCCAACAAGGTATTAGCCAACCCATCATTTCATTTTAAAATAAACGTATTTATTTATTTCTTACTGGTTTTTTTGGATACTTAATATAACCTTCCATAATCTGAAAAATTAACAAAGCTAAATTAATAGAGAATCTGCTGAAATGTAAAAAAGGGCATACTGAAAAGTTCACNAACGTAACCTGAGAATGTTCCAGATATATTCTGAGATTTCTTTGGCTACCGGAATAGTTATATTCTCTAAAGCATGAATAAGTTCATCCAAATTCTGAAGGGATTGTTTGTTTTGTTTCATAACAGTGTAAATCGGACATTCGAAGATGATATGAAATAAAGTTTCGGCCTTATTACTGTTGCAAACAGTGCATATTACACCTGGATCGATCGCATACACAATTCCATTCAATGTAACTTGATTTTAAAATGATTGGCCATGCGTAACTATGCAAGAGTGCAGGTAAATTGTATGGGTAACTTCAACAGCAGATATGAGCTTGGTTCCGTTGAGGTACTTAGCGAATTGTACATATACATGTAAGGGAAGAGAGATGCCATAGAGGCATCTTTGTTGTACAGATAACTGTAATATTCATTTATTATATTTCTCATATTTCAACTCGAAGAGTAACCAGTCATATTATTCCAAATTTCCAGTGATCCGCTATCAATAAAAAATTGCTTTACTTGAATTATTCATTAATCTTATTTGTTGTTCAAAACAAAGTCTTGGATAAGGATCACTTTCCATGGTAAGAATCTCGTGCAGCCAGTTTAAGGTAATTTTAAAAATATTAAGTGTAAGTTTAACTCGTCTCGTTTCCAAACGTACTACTGCATCAGGTGTGTTAATAGGCACTCAGGAATTCTATTCAAGAAACTGAGATGTACTCTTTCTAATACTTCCAAATATCTAATACCCCATACCGTAACGAAGTTGAACATAACACTCATTGCTAATGATTCAAATAATTTTACTCGTGGATACCAGGTGTCAATTTTAGCTTTAGACAAAATAGGGGGTAAAGAGCCAATAGCCTGTTTTCCTTTAATGCTCGCAACTGATGCCATTTCCCGAAATAATCCTGACGAGGTGAAAGTTACAGAGAAACATATTTGTTTGTTACCTCTAGTGGTTGTCCGTTGAAATGAAATTAGGTTTACGATATCCACCTCGAGCAAACTGCATAATTTTAGTTTTTTGCAAATTAACAGTCAGCTCATTGTATGTAGTATATTTTTCTAGAATCTTAAATTTTTTGACGACATCAATTTCTGAGTGGGCAAGAATCACCAGATCATCTGCATATAATAGGGTCAACACGTCATTTCTAGCATCAATGTTCACACCCTGTGCCTGGTAATCATAGAAGAATGTTTCTATATCCGCTCTAAATAGTGCGAATAGAAGGGGGCTCAGAGGCTCACCTTGAAGAACACCAGTTGTTGATTCAAATAATTTAGAGAGGCCATCAGAACCTTTTATTTGAATAGTTGCATTGGAATACAACATTTGTATTATCCGCAGGATTTTAGCTGATATCCCCATTTTGACTAATTTATCCCGGAGTAAGTTATGGTCAACAGAATCAAAAGCTCTTCTGAAGTCAACAAAAATAGCGAATAGCTTTCGTTTTCTATGTCTAATATGAAAATTTATCATTGAGCTCAGCATATATACATTGTCTACACATTGTCTTTCCGTTAACCAGCTGTCGCACCCCTACGAACAACAACCCTCAGAAGTTGAAACTTGTGCGAGCTAAGGATTAACGAGGTCTAACCTTTTAACGTGTGATTCCTAATTAGAGCTTGAACCACCGACCAACACGGAAGTCAATTCGAGTGAGTGAACAAAGCACCCGCGTCGAACCGCCTGGCTACCGACCGACCGATGTTAGTGCACATAACGACTCAACCCCGCACACTTGACTGTATGTTTCAGCTCTATCTCAGCACTTTGTGGATTGGTGCTTTACAACAAGACGACTGAGGCTTCAACACCAACCTCCCCTCCCATAAAGTTTTTGTATTGACGATAATTTCACTTTTTGATATTTTTCAATATTTGATGAACTGAATCAAGACTAAATAAAGTTGAAAAAAACTATGATCTTAAACTATGCTTCATGTTAATAACAATAACTATTTGATAGGCCTTGGTTAAAAATATTGTTTGTGTTAACCTTCTGTTTTGTATTAAACTATGCTTCTTTTCCAGGAAACATTAATTCAAGCTCTAACAGCAAAAAGGGCTCGAGCATCTGGCGAAACGCTTGTCATCAATTACCGACTTCCAGAGGCTGTTGCCAGCCGAGATGCAATGGCCAAATGTCTTTACGGAGCTCTCTTTGACTGGATTGTTTTGCAAGTTAACCACGCTCTACTTGCAAAAAAAGACACACTCCGTGATCATCAGGGCAATTCGATTGGGGTCTTAGATATTTTTGGGTTTGAGGATTTCGGGCTCAACAATAGTTTTGAACAACTTTGTATTAATTACGCAAACGAGCACTTGCAGTACTATTTCAACCAGCATGTATTCAAATACGAACAAGAGGAGTATAGAAAGGAGAGCATCAGGTGGACAAACATTGATTTCATGGATAATACAGGATGTTTGCAGTTGATTGAAGGCAAACCCAATGGGTTAATTTTTTTATTGGATGATCAATGCAAGTGAGTATTCTTTACTAATTCAAAAGTATTTTTGAAGAATGTTTTTCACTGACAAAAAATTTTATCATAAAATTTGATGATGATAGATATTGTGATGAGTTTGATCTCTTAGCGTAAGATCAATGTTGTTTTCCTTGTTTTTGTCTGCTAATTCAAACCAGTTGAAGTAGTTTATTATTATTTGTGTCATTTTTCAATAGAATGTGTATTACAAATCCTATACAAAATATTATTTATTTTGAGACTTTTATATATATATAATTTTCTTG